TTTCACCATTTCCCAGTGATCCTTAATCATAGGTTGCTATACTCCAGTTAAGAGGAAATCATGATTCATTTAGTGTGGAAAGACACATTTTCTTAGCTCACAGGGTGTGTTTGCTTTACTGGTTGACAAATGGTTTACCAAAGTAAAACATGTTAAGACATTGGACTTTCCTCAGAGTAATAAAAAGTGAGTTTTGAACTCGTCAACAACAGAAACAGACAGAAACACTGAAAAAAATCAACAGCAAGCCTACAAGTTCTTCTAACTTATTGGCAAACAACTGACAACTTGCACACTATATCAGTGGTTCCCAACCTTTTTCCTTAATGGAGCCTTTTTCTATCAATGAGTAAACTGACGACCCCTAGTGACATATTTTATGGACATTTATTTCCATTTCTCACTCAGAGGATCGTCTACTTTGTGAGTTTGTGCTGATTATTTCCAGTGCAACAATGTGTGGTGTGTACAGGATTTCAGCTTGTGTATTTTTCTGCTTGCTGTTTTCAGAATGACACTAAGCCAGTGAAGATGATGTACCAGAAAACTAAGTTCCCTTTAACCTTCATCCCTGAAGCCAGCTGCCAGGTAATCAAGCAATTCTGCTAATTAATCCATTAATACAGCATGTGTCCATCAACCAACTGTTAACTGACCAGGCAACAACTGAACCAATCAACTATTACCTTGTGTATGTGAATGAGATTAACCAAGATTCAAAGAAGAATTTCTAGTTCAGTTTATATTAGTTTATATTGGTTATTACCCAGACTTTATTTTATGAAACTACCGAATAAGAGTTTTATTTGTTGCTTGTTATCCCATAAGATATCTTGTTAATACACAAAAATAACCAAACCAGAGCAGTATATATTTGATGTAATGTGTGAAACCCTCTATTGGACAGATCCTAGAGCTGCCTTACAAAGGAAAGGAGCTCAGCATGCTCATCTTCCTCCCCAATGAAATGGAGGACAGTACAACAGGTCTGGAGAAGGTAGGACCCACTTACATGCGCACACACTAAGAAACCCACAAGACACAAACAAGCTAATAATTGATTATTATTACTCCTCCCTCCTCAGCTGGAGAAGGAGCTGAACTATGAGAACTTTGTGGAGTGGACTCGTCCAGACATGATGGATGAGGTTGAGGTGCAGGTGGGGCTGCCACGGTTCAAGATGGAGGAGAAGTATGACATGAAGAATATCCTGGTCAGCATGGGCATGGTGGATGCCTTCGACATGACGATGAGTGACTTCTCCGGTAGGTCATGTGCCTGGACTATATCAGATATATTCATAAAAACTTTAAAGAACAGGCACCCAAAACCTGAACTGGTTCCTCACAGCTCAAAGGAGTAACAAGTCAGTGCAGAGGTTGTTCCAAATCAGTGTGCTCCTGCCACGTGAAGGTGAGACCAGGCATTATTATTCATTTAAAATATTCTCTTCCCTTCTCCTCTGCTGACAGGCATGTCTCCCGCCAACGACCTGGTGCTGTCAAAGGTCATCCACAAGGCCTTTGTGGAGGTCAACGAGGAGGGAACCGAGGCTGCTGCTGCCACCGGTGCCATCATGATGCTGCGCTGCGCCATGCGTCCAGCCACCTTCATCGCAAACCACCCCTTCCTTTTCTTCATCCGACACAACCCCTCCATGAGCATTCTCTTCGCTGGCCGTTACTGCTCCCCCGAGTGAGCGCTACATCGCTTAGAGTGGTGTTTTTCAACTGGAGGGGGGTTACAATACATCTACTACAGCAACAGTATAAATATTTTAGTTTTGGTATTACTAGAAGAATGTTGAGAACCACCGCTCTAGAGTTTCCTAATCTCTGTAATCACACACCAAGTTCCCGTCCTATATTTTCAACACCAGAATGATGAGATTGTGGTGTTGGATTTTCTTATCTGTGGCTTCTTGTCTGTATCACTTCTTACATGAGTGATTCTGTTTACCTGTGCCTTCTTGAACATTAGGTTCATGCACTGTAACTTTAGCACCTAATTTCATCCTTAAGATCTGGTATGTCTACCAGACTGATCAATGCATGGCCCTATTTGCTGCACCCTCACTCCCTACTCTAGTTTATCATTAAAGTCTTTTTTTTTCTTATCTTACACCCTGTGAAATAATTTGCCTTAATCACAATGTCTATTATGCCTCTTTTCTCAACCGCCAACTGTGCTTTTATATCATATGAAGGTGCGACGGTTGCAAGATTCTCTGCACTTTCCATCTTCTTAGATATTCAATTAACCAAAGAGAATAATGTGATGAAATCACATTGTCAGATAGATATATCCTTGGGTATTACTAGAATTGTAATCAAGCAAAGGGCAGCTATATGTCACTGTATCATTATGCATATAATGAGTATAGACTATAAACAACAAGAGCTTACATGAAGGATTGAACTGGTTATTTGTATGTATCTTTATGCTCTTACATACAGAATAAACGTGTGGCTTGCAAATACTGTGTCTCACATTTTGTGACAATTCCATTTATTCACACTTTCTGAGATCTGGTCATGTGTGATAAAATAGATAACCTGCAGTTTTATCAATCAGTGTTAAAGAATCATTTCACCGGTGGAAACATTAATCTTTATTGAAAGTGGGTTATATATGTAGTTGAAATTTACTAAATTTGGGTGCCTATTTGCCGAGAAAAGAGTGTTTGTAGTCTCACCCCCCTCTACAAAGATATGAGACTTACTGCTTCCAGTGATCCAAAAATTTGCACGATTTTTACATCATTGGAAGCAGGAAGTGCAACACTTGAAATCCGTATTCTCTCCCGTCTCAAGGGGAAAATGATGGGATTGGTGCACGAACCATTCAAAAATATGACTGGGTTTCTAACGATACAAAGCTTAATGCAAATGGGTGAAGTGTCCTTTAATGCTACTGCTGGTGTCTATGAGAATCTTTAAATATCCTATACTGCAGTTTAAACCTAAAACTAACAGACAGGGTATAAATGTTGAGCGAAACATAAAAGAAGAATAAGTATCTTACAGCAACAAATCCTTTTAGTGTCCTGTTTCTCACAGGGCCTTTCTTCCAACTGCAAACCCCTTAAGACTGGGGCTGTACACTATTTCAGCATGAATGGTTACTGATAATAATCTTAAAAACATGTTTAAAGGGAACTCGTAACCTCTGGTAACTCCGGTGGGAGTTACTGGAGCCATAGTGCAAAAGTTAATTGAACAGGAATTATGCAAATAGAGTAGTTAATATTTACAGCATAGATCAAAGGAGGCCAGTAATCCAGAGTTCAAGTGGCAATTAATGAAAGAACAACGATCATAGCCTCATGTCACAGTTGAACTCATGGCTATCAACGCTCCCACTGAGAATGCGTTAGGGGGAGACAACAAGGGCCATTGCATCATTGATTCATATTAGCCTGGGGCAGCAACTCCGTAGTATTTAAGACATGAAGTTTCCATGCAGGCAAGATCTTAATTTGTGTTGAGATTCCATCAAAATGCTAATAATGGGCTTCATAACAGGGAAGGACGGTTGTTTCTGTGGTTCGCTGCTCATGCAGGGTGTTGAGGAGAATGAGGATGCAGACATACTCCGCAAAAACAAGGCAGCTCAGGGTCACCAACAGTGAACAATTTCCCACTTAGGGAAAGCAGAAGGGAAAGACAATCATTTAAAACCAATTGCAAAGGTTTTGGCCAGGACATATGGGGATATAAATGAAAGAGACAGGAAGACACTTTACAGTTACAAAAAACAGGTGGGGAAAAAGGATGAGTGGTGGCAGAAAGCAGGTTAGGAGGAAGTGATTTCATTACTGCCTCAGTTAGGGCACACGGCGCTTAATAAGGACCGCTACCACAGAATTGGTAAAACAATCTACTTGGTAAAATGTAGATTGTGGTGATCATCCTGAATCTTGTGCAGCATGTTAATAAAAAGAGACAGAGAGAGAACTAAAGCAGCACTGCAAAGGGAAAAAGTGAGCTTTCAACGGTTAGGGGAACATGTTGCAAGCGATCAGAAACATTAGGGAGGTAATGGAGTAAGTACATGAGGGAAAACAGGGTTAATGGATAGGGTTAATATATTAAATATATAAAAATATATATATTAATCTATAATCTATAATCTAATGTACCATACTTCCAGTTCCGGTAAAGGGTGGCGGCAATGCACCTATAGCTGGGTGCCAGCGCAATCAAATCTAAAAGAAGAAGAAGAAGAAGAAGAAGAAGAAGAAGAGACGCACTTCCGGATAACTTCCTAGTTGTCGTGTTTGAAGTCTGTTTACTTAAAAACGAATCGCTTATTAACAAAACACGACTTTAATATACGTTATCAGTAATGTCTGCACGTTAAAGGCCAGCTGAAATGGCCACAGAGGCACGGAAAGTGTCGTTAACGTGTTCCAGCTCAAAGACTACAAACTAGCCACTAACTGAGCTCCTGGTGCTGCTAATCCGGTTTCCCCTGTTTGGTTGGTGATGGAGAGACTAATAACCCAGCTCACAGAGAAGCATGTGCTTTTCACTGCTTCCTTCGCTGTACGGCTGGCCTTGGTTGCCTATGGAGACTACCAGGATAGGACTATGGTGGTGAAGTACACCGACATCGACTACCATGTGTTCACAGATGCTGCCAGATTCATTACTGAGGTAACAGCAGTCTTACACTCCTCTGAGTGGAGCAAGGCGGCCACATAAAGCTCAGTATAAGGCTGATAATATAATGCTGGGTCCACAGTTACATTTACTAATATAACGTTACTTAAGTACAGTTGTAGATTATTTGCCATATAATGAAAACTGTATGGTCCTTCTACTGTACTACCTACTAACATTCAATTCAAACTTAATTATAGTGTGTGATATGAACATTATATATATATATATATATATACTTTTTACCCTACTACGTATATTTGTCAACTATATTAACTAGTTTCAGTTTAAGATTTCACATACAAATCATATCATCAGTTCATACAATATGATGTATTGTTACAGATTAATCTCTCCAACATTATATGAAAAAAAAAAAAGTAAAGTAGCTCCACCTCAACCAGTTTATATGCACTGCTTATGTGCTACTGCTTCAATAATAATGGTCTATTAATATGAAAATATAACATTCTGCATAATGAGTTCTTTTATGTCATTTACGTGCACTTCTACTGTACTACATCGTTTCACTTTTGCACAGGGGGAGTCCCCGTACAACAGATCCACGTACCGCTACACCCCTCTCCTAGCCTGGATGCTCACCCCTAACATCTGCCTCAGCATGGTATTTGGCAAGATCCTGTTCATTGTGTGTGATGTGCTGTCAGGGCTGCTCATCTACAGAATCCTCCGCCTGAGAGGTCTGGGCTCTGAGGTACGTTTTCAGACACGTTTAATCAATCTGATTCAATAAAATTTGCTGTATTGTAATAGTTTATAAATCATTGCCAACTATAATTGAAATTTGTCCTATAAAAACAACAGAGTTTAGAGTCTTTTTGGCGATGCACAGTGCAGGTAAAGTTGTGTTTTGGGCTGATTTATGTTCAGACTGCACGTCGTGTTTGTTCACTGTGGCTCCTCAACCCACTGCCGATGGGAGTATCCAGCCGGGGGAATGCTGAGTCAATCCTGGCAGCTCTGGTGCTGGGGACATTACTCTGCATGGAAGGTACATTTTATCCCTGTAAAATAATGCAGATATTGTTCATTTTGTGATGTAATGCTTACACTTTTTACCTTTTTTCTCTTCTAGCCCGGCATCTGATGTGGGCAGCCATACTCTATGGTCTGTCAGTCCATATGAAAATCTACCCAATTACATATGCTCTGCCCATTGCTCTGACCCTGCGTACACCAGAGACCAGATCAGAGGATGACAGAAAGAGGTGGAGGTGGAGGGGCTTCATTGGGTTTATTGGAAGCTTCTTCAACCGAGAGCTGCTCCTCTTTGCAAGTGTGGCCGGAGGAGTCTTCTGTATGCTCACAGCGTTCTTTTATTACATGTGAGGTGAACAAAGAAATCACACACAATCACATAGTAAAAGGCTTTCATTGCCTGCAATGTTTTGACTCTGCAAGTATAGCCAGTATAAAATATTGTAGTTAGTGTTTGACCGTATCCTGCTAGTCCAGAGAGAATTATTTAGCTAGTAACACAAGATGTAAAATGTTGAAATATTACTTTGACAATGATTATTTAGGAACAGTAAAATCAGTTTATATACAGTTTATATAAAGTTGAGTAATATATTAAAACTCTGCTCTCCTAAAGGTATGGTTGGGAGTTCCTTCATGAGACCTATTTGTACCATCTGACCAGAAGAGACATCAGACACAACTTCTCTCCATACTTCTATATGCTCTACCTCACTGCAGGTAATCACCCATTCAGCCTATTTTCTCAAATTAGGAGGCTCATTTAAAGCCTCCTAATTTGACTCCATGCAAGACCAGCATAAAATTCTAGCTCATGTGCAGAGATACAGTGCTTCTGGTTGGCAGCAATAAAGTGCTTGTTTATTAAATCGGTTATAAAATTGGAAGAGTGATGCAGCTTTCTAAGCCTGCTCAGGTTCTTTTCTTTTGCTGGTGCAGACAGCAGGTGGAGCCAGTGGCTCGGCCTGGCAGCGTTCCTCCCACAGCTCATCCTGCTGTTGGGAGCGTCGTGGGCCTTTCACTCTGACCTGGCATTCTGCTGTTTCCTGCACACCGCCATCTTTGTGTCTTTCAACAAAGTCTGCACTTCACAGGTACATAAAGCACCATCAACAAACAGAGTCTAAGCAGAGGTTAGATGATGCATTGTCTGGCAGTCATTATTAAACCCCTACCACCATTCTGTTTATAGACTCATCAATCAATCGCCAGAATTGCTTTTAGGATTGAGATGAGCTGTAAAACGAAAAAAATAAAATGAATAAAAATCAGTTTGATATCACACGGTCATTAGTTTTACTTCCTAGCCTTACTTTAAAAGGGAGCTTTTCATTTGAATACCCCACAGCTAGTTTGGCTATTAGAACTGGGTTGTTTTGTTCTCCAGTGAACTCTCCAGCCACTGTAAATATTAATTTAGTGTACAATATCATATGTATAATAATTGTATCTAGCCTCAGCTCACACCCTTCACGCAGCCTTTAACAATGTTGCTTGTTATCCTTTCGTAGTACTTCCTGTGGTACCTGTGTCTACTCCCTCTGGTCATCCCTCACCTGAGTCTGTCACTAAAACAGGGAGTCGGACTGCTGCTCCTCTGGTTTGCTGGGCAGGTAATTCAGTTCATTTACAGTTACAGAGTTACAATTAAACATGACTTCATATATGCAGCTTATTGACAAAATCTTTATATCATAATATAATGGCATTAATTATACTGGGTTTAAAATGGTATAAGATGCATTAATGCTGTTTGGCATCTGTCTAAGTTTTTTTTGCAATTTTTATAATATTTATAATATTTATAATACCTTGG